GGTTTAGTTCCGTGCACTTGGTCGACGAGACTTGTCATTGGTTAAAAAAGAGTTCACCTCCTCAATCGACCTGTGTGATCAAATCAAGGCATGTGCAACATGTCGAGGACCGGAATTGTGGCATATTCCATCTCTTGCGAATGAACGATGCTTTCAGCGAGAATTTGGAAGGACACGACGAGGGACGACAAGTCTACAGCACTCGATGCAGAAACTTGAAGAGAAATTCTTCTCGATTATTTGGTGCCCGTCGAGGATGCTCTATTAAAGAGTCATGGCTCCGAAGCGAATCTCTTCCGATGACCAACAAAAAAACAAACTCCATGATAAAAAGGCTCAGCATGTAGATTCCTCCATGTTGCCAAAGTGGATAAAAAATAAACTTTATTCCCCCCCGCGAGGAGGTCCAATGAGGGGGAGCCACGTCGACTGATTCGCCATCGAACCATCATTCGCAAGCCTCTGGGCGGCACCCTTGACCGGGAGTGGCAGGTCGAATCCCCGTCGCCGGGGGCTAGCCAAGACTCGTCGCGGGGACGACGGGAGAGCATCCACCGTCGGGAGGACGGGCCGGGTGTGGGGGTGGCTATCTTTAGCCGGGGGAGGGGCAGTGTCCGTGTGAAGGCGGGTATCTCGTCTGCCGGGGCCTATGGTGGCGCACATGGAGCGTGGCAGCAACAATATTGCAGAAAAATCCAGAAGTGCGCGGCCATTGGCGCAAAGCTGGAAGCCCATATCCAGGGGTTACAAGTGGGGAAAGTGGGGCGCTTTTCCAGTCGCCAGAGTGGAAATGGACACGTTACTTCGCTCGCTCGTTACCTGTGGTGCTTCTCTCTTTCCGTCGGGGCTAGCGGGGGCTAGCGGGGGCTAGCGTAGGGGGGCGCGCAGGGGCTCGGAGCACATCGGAGCCCCTCGCTCCATCGCAGCCGAGCGGAGATCCTCATCCACTGTGTGGTGTGGCAATGATGCCACTCAGTAGGGCTACGCCCGCTAGCGTCCAAGATCACATTTACAAGGTCGCGGAGTCATGAATGAGATCCCGGGGGCTCGCCCAAGTCGTCGAGAGCGGGAGCCGAGGTGGGAGCAACGGGAGGTGAGGGGGTGTGGGAGTAGGCCCCACCGGGGCAGGAGCCCCCATGGGCCCGTCCGTAGCCCCGCCTCCACCCACAAGGCAGGGGTGATGTTCTTCTTGTCGAGATGTCAACTTGGCGGGGCCCGGGGCTTAGGGCCTTTCGAATGTTCCCCTTTCCCGTCACTTATAGTAGTAACACACAACAGGCAGAGCGGCAGCAGCAGGGCAGGGAGGCGGACAATGTCCCAGAGCTGTGGGTGCTGCTCGATGCTTTTGTCTGCTGCTGATCGAAAGAGGAAAGTGCACCCTGTCAAACTTCGGACATCACACCCCTTCCCACAAGCCAACCCAGCGCCTGCTCTAGATCTCTGCTCAGATGAAGCTCCAGTGGGGCCTTGTGGATCCATATCCCTTCCTCCCTGTTTTTCTGATTCTCCCCCCTCCCTCCACCACCAGCCTACCTCCTGCCTCCCGACTTTGTCTCCGAACCCGCCAAACATCCAACAGCAGCCAGACCTCCTGCCAACCTTCTCCTTTCTGTAGCTCATGGTCCAGTAGTTGCTGCTGTTGCACCTGGGGGCTGCGGGCTGGGGGCAGTGGGGGCTGGCAACCACTTCCGGACTCCGGGTGGACTCTTAATGTTGCACTCTCGAGACGGATTAGCAGCAATCTTACAATTAGGCCCTTTCCACAGAGACCCCCTTTGGCGCCGAAGCCCATCCGGCCACGGACAGAGGACCTCCTCGCCATCCCGACAGACAAAACACCAGCATAGACCACGCCGGGATGTAATGAATGTGACCGTCGTTGTTGGGATTTCAGAAGACGCTATTATTACCCTTTGCTAGAATTTAGAGGAGGCTTTTAGGCTCGCTCTGTCCGGGTGATGAGCAGTGATGATTACATACCCCAGTTTAGTGACGGGCTTGGATCACGGGGCATCACGATGCCTCCCGACAATGGCTAACGGGAAGAGAGGTAGAGGGGGAGGGACACACAAACACTCACACACACCTTTGCGCACTTTCTTCTGTGGATTCCTTGGCAGCAAATATTGTAAGCGAAATAATATTGAGGAAGGGGGCGGATTGGCTTGCCTCATCACGAACCTTCAGACACCTACAAGAGAAGAGAACAGAATAGCATGTAAGAGAGTGAACCAGTGGTCTTGTCCATGCTCCCTCTCGCAGAAGAACCCACATGACAAATTTGCCCCCGGTGCTTTGGAGGACATGACGTCTAAAGATGACCGCCCGGACGCCCGAAAGCTCAAGACTCCCAAATTCGCTCGGAGGAGTAAAATAAACAAGAATTACGGTTCCAATCATTGCACTGATGGCGCACAACGCTGTGAACGCTCTGAGTCTGTCTATGAATTACACGTGTAGCTGAAAAGCTGTGTTTAGCCATACCGCCCACGTTTTAATTTCTCTTTTTAGAAGCGCAGTCGCCAACCCAGAGTGGAACCAAATCGATAGCAAATGCAGAGAGGAGGAATATTGCATCGCTGCCCTCGGAACATGTTCCGCTCGTCTACGCGTGGAAAAAAGAAAACCCCACCAGGACGAATCGAAATGTACAGAAATGGAAATGGGCATATACATCACGACCAAAGGATGGCATAGACATGGAATCTCCGGATTAGGCGGACGCCCGCCATCGCTTTCAGCATAAGTTCTTGTTTGTATGTCCTCATGTCTCTGTCGTCGTACTTGGCAAATGTCTCCATGTCAGCCGACTCTGCTCCAATAGGCCGGCCACTTACTTACATCATCCTAAACGTCCCAGCACAAACCTCGGACTCGCCGAATTAATCACTTCCACTTTTGGTAGTCGCGCTACAATGAGCCCCGCCGTCCCAGACGAACATAGTGAAATCACATCAAATTCCAGACGCCTCCTGTTCATGGGATTTAGCAGAGTCATTCATGCACGCATGGCGAGTTCTTGGGTACCACTCAAGCTCGAGCTCGGAAAGAGAGCTGGGTCGTAGAATATTGCGCATACTTTGCAGCAGTACGATGGCGATCTGAAAATATCTAGCAGACATCGTCCCCCCAGGAGTTCACACGAAGGAGGGCAAATCGCGTATTGAATGATGTTGCTCGAACATGCTCCATGCATCGCGACAACACCAAAGAAGGGCTCGTCCTCCTCCTCCTCCTACTCCTCCTCATGTACGTGGAGCCGAAGGAAGGAATGGGGCGAATTAATTGCTATGCAAACTCGTGACGAGTATTGTATAACACTCGCTTCAAGGAGGTACGTGAGCGTTGTTAAACTTCAACGCGAAGCGGCTGGAGACGATTTGTTCAATGGTTGGTGAACTTACATGACACCGAGTGACGAGAATGGGGGAGGCAGGGGGGTCCGCATGTGGTGGGAATTGGGAGCACCCGGTTCTCGCTGCATGGGAGTTGGAAACCCCTCGCGCAACGCAAAATGAGGTGAACCAGATCCAACGCACGAAACAGTGCAAAGGGAGGGGGGCAAGGAGGGCGGGGGTGCCTGGTCATTGGCAAAACTCGGCCGGTCAAATGGTCGAAGAAACATGGCAGCCGACTGATATACGAAAAGGGCGGCCGACGGAGTCCCACATGCCGCCACAGGTCCCACTGGCTTACAAGCCAGGCAGGCCTTCGGTTTAGTTACGAGCCAGGCAAAAGTCTAGATCTCACTTTGGGCCAAATCCGCTTTAGAAACAAGAAAAGCGCCATTCTTAATTCATATTCTCGGTTTTCTAATGCCGGGCAGCTACGGGCCTATGACATTCCCGAGGCTCGCAAGTCTTGCGCGAGCTAGCGTCTTTTGCTGATGCACTCTAGACGTCTACGAGGACGCGATCCCCACCTAGTCGCAGTCCCCCATTCTTGCTCCATGTGCTACTGTTGCCCGCTCATCAAGAGAAGGAATTGAGGTGTTGACACTCCTCTGCTCAGGACGAATCCGTACGCGCCCCGCTTTTCCTGTGCACTGAAACCTTGTCTTTCGTGTTTAGAGCCCCGGCCACCGCTTTTAGCTCGAGCTTAATCATTTCCGACGAGCTCGACTCCGCCCTGATCCCACTTACGAATTAATGATCGAATGAGTGAGCGAGTGAGCGAGCGAGCGAGTGAATGAATGGAATGCTGCTCGACGGATCGCGAGCAGAATGTCCTCCCGAGAAACATTGACCGTTTCTTTCTGAGCTGCGAACTTCGGCGCGTGCGTAACGGCAGCTGAGTAGCGGATCGAGGGGCAGTTGCGCAGGGGAATGTTCATCGGGAGAGACAGAGCGAGCGAGCGAGCCCCCGCTGCCGTTGTCGGAGTAGAAGCATGAGAGAAGTTAGAGAGGGAGGAGGATTAATTAGGAAGGCAGGGAATCAATCAATCATAGGGACGAGCGGAGGCAGGGGTTGTGGGAAGGGGGTGGGAGGGGGATGGGGGAGGGGGGAAGGAGTGGGGAAGGAAGGGCAGGGGCTGGGGCTGGGGCTTGAGAAAGAAGAAGACGACGGGGGGTAGGGGGGGGAGGGGGTTTGACGTGGGCTTGCTTGCGTAATTGTGAACGTGGAGCGGGGGATAATTGATTGAGCAGCAGCAGTCGAGCACGAGGAGAGAGGACAAGGAAGTGAAGAGGAAGGATGGTTGCAGCTGCAGGCGCTGCTGATGCAATTGATGGGCCGGCGTGCCACCATATCCAAAACGACCTGGACGAGCATGGGGTGTAAGCGGAGATGGAGGGAACAACTGTAGGGTCAAGTCAGCAGGCCAGAATGGTACAGTGTCCTATTCACTACCTACTGTGAGGGGCTACTGCTTTTTGCTTCTGCTTCTGCTTGCGCACTGTGCCCCCGCGGTGGGGCCCCTCGCCCCACAGTGCTCCTCCTCGTCCCCCGCCCCGGCCCCTCGAATCCAGGGGAAAACCCCCCGCCTTGAAAGTGCCTCGCTCAAACCGCGCAGCACTAGTCCAGTGCCAGCTCGCTCGCGTCAAGGCCAAGCGGAACCCCACGGCAAGGATCGGCGAAGGGGGCAGCCCAGGGACCCAGCGTGCTGCGAGTGTTGCGATTTCGAACATGGCTTGAGGTGGACGCACTGGCGAGTGAGCTGAGCTGAGCTGAGCCGAGGACAGACGACGAGACGAGACGAGACGAGGGGAGGGACGATCGAAAAGCCTCGCCTGCTTCTTTCCCGGCGTCGTCGGGTGCGAGAGACTCGGGACGAAATTCGACGAGCGGGCGAGGGGCGGGACACGGCACGAGCAGGACCTAATGCAGCTGAATGATACGCGAGAAGAATTGAGCTCAGACCGCGTGGACGATCCCCAGTGCGAGGACGCGCATGGCGAAGGAAGTGGAGGCGACAAGGCAAGAGCCGGTGCAACCACAGCGACAGCTTCTCAGCAGCAGCAGCAGCAGCAGCAGCTTCAGCTCGTAGCTGCAGCAGCATCAGGAGGCGGAGGCGGAGGAGCAGCAGCAGCAGCAGGGGCTCGCCGCGGGCGGGGGAAAGGGAAAGGAGGGCCGCAAAATGGTCTGTTTCAGTATAGAGGGGTGCGGCAAAGGAGCTGGGGGCGGTGGGTGGCGGAGATTCGCGAGCCTCGCAGGCGGGCGAGAATATGGCTGGGAACGTTCGCCACTGCCGTGGATGCAGCTCACGCCTACGACTGCGCCGCATGGCGCCTCTACGGGCCTCGCGCTCGCTTGAATCTCGCTTACCCCATTTCGTCGCAGCCCTCCGACTCGCCCCCGCTCGAATCGTGCATCCAGACCTCGCAAGCCTCCACATCGAATTCGTCCAGCTGCTCGCTCAAGCCTCTCCTGCCCGCCATTGCCCCGCGCCCCAACCTCGCCCATGTACAGTCGCAATGCCAGCCCCCTCCTGCCGCTGCCCCCATGCCGCACCACCTCCTGGATTTCCGTCACGTCGAAGCTCTGGTTCCGGCTGCCATTCCCATGCCCGCGGCCTCCTTGCGGGACGCAGCCGGATGGCACCTCTACAGCAGGAGCTCGGAGAAATCGTTAATTGGAGAAAATTTTGCCGATGACAAGAGTAAAGTAAGGCTTCTGTTGGGGGCTCCGGCTCCGTTGAATTCCAAAGGCCGCACGCAATTCCAGAGTCCGAATTTGTATGACTGCTGTCGCGGCGTTCCGGATTGCTGCAGCAGCATCGCTCGCGACGAGAATTTCCGGATCCACGGCCGCGAGAGCGAGATCGACGTGCCGGGACTCTCGGAGAGCACCGCCGTCGTCGGCCTGGCAGCGCAGCTGATGACGGCGAATTCCACTCACGGCTTATCGGACGCGTGCTCGCTCATCGAGCGAGTCGAGGCGGCCATGCAGATTCAAGATCTGCACCACGAGGCACTCCGATCGCAAAAGCTGCACCTCGACGCAGTCCAATCCCGCGAACGCGAGCTGCAGCGCAATTCCTCGGCGCCCGGATCACTCGAATTTCGGCCGATCAAAGCCGAGCCCCAAGAGAGGGCGGCGACCGATTACTCCCATCTCCAGCAGGCGCCGCTGGACGCAGTGGTGCCGCCTCTCGTCTGCTCGAGCGATCAGTTCCGATGGCCCGACACCGTCCAGCCCACCGCCGCCAGTCGCGAAGCCGACGCGTCGATCGCAGCGTGCAAGGAGTGGTGGCACCCCATAGCTAGGCAGATCCTCAACAGCTGCAGTCCGGAATTCGAGTCTGCAGACGAGTACACAGTGCCCAGCACCGCCACCGCCGTGCAAGCGCAGCAGCATCCCTCGCTCCTGTGGAACTCGCCCGAGCACTCTCTCAGTTCGTCGCCGTCCGTGACGTCGCCCATGCCTCCCACGATGATCTGGAATTCGTCCGAGCAATCGCTCACTTCCCCTCCATCCGTCACCTCGAGCTCGCATCCGATTCTTGCTGACGGTCAGTGGGAATACTTGCCCGCCTCCGGATCCATGTCCAACAACACACTGAACTGCTGCCATTCGGACGCATGCAACTGCAGCTGCAGCTTCATGGACTACGATTCGTTCATGCACATCATGCAGTAATTCCGCTGCAGTGTCTTGTCTCCCGGATACAGTCCCGCCGATTTCGGTCGAGCTGATCCTGGTTTACTCGGGGCCACCGAGGACGAGGACGAGGATGGGAACGGATGCGGGTGAGGGCGAGCGTGAGGGTGAAGGTGAAGGGGCTGAGGCTCACGTGCCACAAAGCGAGCTCGAAGATCAGCGACATTGTTGCAGCGCAACGATCTGATCGAGCCGCCACTGGATCAGAATCGCTGAGCCGGAACCAAAAGACGGTCGGGCGGGCGGGCGGGCGAACGATCTGTGAGGCCTTTTGCCAGTGTTGTCATGATCATTGTAAATGTAAAGCGATCAATCAGTCTTCGCAGTACAGAACTGTACTTCCGAGCTTGAATGGCTGCTTGGTTATCCTCAAAGGAGAGGGTTCATCGAATCGTCGACGGATGCATCTGATTCACCGAGGCCAATTCCGGTAAACGCAGGGAAAAGCAAGAATGTGCGATGGCTCCCATGAATACTGTCATACTCTATCGTATGCTCATTTACCAGATCGATCGGCACCCGGGGACCGCGAGTAAGAGAGCCGAGGCTGCAGCTTACTAGCTTGTAACACGAGGTCCAAATCTTATATATACGCAAAGAATTACGCCGATTCCCGACAGTAAACGATGATTTGTTCGAGTTTCCATGGCTGGTTTGTCTTCTTGGGGGCCGCAGTCGCTTCGCGTTCATACTCGAAAGCTATGGTCGGTTCGCTGACCACGGACTTTGTCGCACCACTGGCACTGTTTTTGGCTTGTTTGATCAATGTGCAAGTGTTTTCTCGCTTTCCCTCCTCCTCCTCCTTTTTTGCCGTTTTACGCATCGAATGTTGGTGCTCACTGGATGTGCATCTATCTGCGTGGCAATGACAAAATCCCCATGCGTCATGTCGTACTCGATCTGGGGCCCTCGATCCTTCGCGGTCTTCGCTGTCCTGCTCAGATGAACCCTCAAGTACACAGTCGGGCAGAAATCCGCCCCCAAGTACATCTCCTCGCTTCCAGTCCGGTCGCAGCCTGTCCGGGCCCCTTGACATGTGACATGGCCCTCCTACTCACAACAGTAGAAGTCATATTCGGCCGGACCTCGTGCACGGACGATGTTGCGGCGAAACGAGAATAATCTGATTTCTCCATCACCGAGCTCGTTTCACAGCAATCATGACTTATGAACAAAACAAAAGTAACCGCCATGATAATGGTTATTGCAAGGTCGCTACGAGAGTATACGAGTAAACGGATGGACGAATAGCCCATTCGATCTAGTCATCGTATGCCATGAGACCATGCCACTTAACACATGATACGGTCCTGGCCTTGGGAAGCTGCTGCTGCTACTGGAGTGTCGAGCAGTCTTTACTGCTCGACACTCCTGCTGCGAAGGGGATGGGTTGGAACCCAGGTAGAGGCGTCCTTTAGGTAACGAGAGAAGACGAGTAGATGGCCCCGATGGTAACGGCTGAGGACGAAAAAGCCAACATTGACGACGACGACGACGACGACGCGTTCAAGGCTCGACAAATGGAAAGTGCAGATTGATGCCCTGTGCCGGGGTGTTCCCCCTTTCTCGAACCCGAACAAAGAGGTCGAGGAGCAGCAACGGTTGGCTGGTTGGGTGGTGACGGAGGTCGGATCTGAGTTGATCCGTAGTTAGCGTCATAACAGCCCCGGGCTCCCGATCGGACCACAGGTTTCCATGGCTCGTCTTGGCTGTGACGAACGGATTACATGTGGGGAGTATATAAGCTGCCGAGCTTAGAGTGGCCTCCCTCCCTCCCTCCCTCACTCATTCACTCACTCAATCACTCATACACTCCCTCAGTCTCTCGGCAGCAGAGCAGAGTTCGCTGGCTTCGGGGCTCACCTACCCATCGTCTTTTGTTTTATGTCAAATGATTGTTTATGATGCACTTTCTCAAGACATTCTGCGTTTATTGGCTGCATGCTCGGATCGTTTTTTTTTTCTTCTTCTTCTTCTTCTTCTTCTTCTTCTTCTTCTTCTTCCTCTTCCTCTTCTTCGTCTGCTGATGTTGCTTCTTCCCAGCCTTTCCGAGCTTTGAGCTCTGTACAGAGGTGTCAATTATTTGTCAAACGATTCCTCCTCTCAAAGCATGCAAAGCAAAGCGAAAAGATTCAAGCTTTCCGATCGAATCTACCATCTGCGACCGTCAGAAGCTCGCGAACAGACCTGTTACTGCGACATCGAACATCGAAGCTTCCGAAATGATCGAGCATCTAAATAACTGCGAGACTGTCCGTAGCTTCCGCATGTAACTATATGCGGAATTGGTATCGGACCTCGGAGGTGAAGTTCCGTGCAATCATCCCTCGGAGGGTGAATTACGGATAATCCCTCAGTCATTATCCAGCCGTAGTCAAGTCCGGAGTCCGGAGACAGAAGAGGCCGTAGACTTTCGCTGTATCTGGAGGCACGCTCTGCCACATCCCACCGTGAGATGCATCCAATACTTTGTTCGCCATAGCTCTGACCAACTTGGGAAGCTCCCGTTCGGGCCCTGAAAAGCTCAGGCTCGTGCTCGCAGTTAAGATTCTGAGCGGTTAACTAGCCCCACGACATACAGTTGGGTCTGATAGGAGCACACTTATGAAAAGCACAGAGCATCTTTCGAATGTCCCACGGTCTTGGACCTTCGCTAATGGTCGGCTGGTTGGGCATGTCCATCGCCCCTTTGAACCATGGTAACTCTACTTCTTCTCGAGTCTACCGGGCGGCTCACATAGCGCATCGACATTCTCTCGCCCAGTGTGAGCACGAGAGCTCGCCTTATATTTGGAAAGACGCAGGGAATGTCGTCCCTCGCCTTCGATCAAAATGGAACACCGCCTTACGACCGTAAAAATATGAGAAAATAATCTCTCTCTCTCTCTCTCTCTCTCTCTCTCTCTCTCTTCCTTCCTTCCTTCCGTCTATTACAACCACTTACCACGTCTGAACGATATGTACGATGCTCAGTTCTCTGTCAGGGCTTCTCTGTTTTGGCGATGGACTCGATCTCGCTCGGTTCATGGCTTACGGCAAAATTGGACCGACGGGAATCATGATCATGCTCTCGCTTCTTCTCTCATTCGGGCCACCCTCGAACACTACTGCTGCATGGTGAGCAACCCGAGTTGAGTTCGAACCATGATTAACGAACGATTCTTCTCGGCAGATATGGCTGAACTGGGGCTAATTAGATCCAGCTTTTGTACTTGCGGGCATGTAAATTTGCTTGAGCTTGGGCTCGGGCTTCGAATCTCATATTCTCTCCTTGTGATCACTGTTGCGCATGAGCAGAAAGTGTGTGCGCATCATCCTCTTCCTCCGAGTGCAATCTCGGAGCTGTGAAGCGAGCAGCTTTAAAGCTTCGGTACTCACCGGAAAGGTTCAGCATCTATGGCACCGGCAGAGCGTCGGTCTCTTGCTCCGAGTGCTTCTCGAAGCAGTCGCTCGAAGCCTTCGGTCTTCAATCCGACACCATCCTCTGCCTCTGCCTCTACCTCGGAAGCCAATCCTTGCCACAATCCCTTGCGTCTGTCCGAACGGACAGCAGCACTCCAAACTCTGACTCGAGGCTCGAGAATCCTCTTCAGCTGTCGAGGCTCGACGAGTGGCCAAAAGTCCGACATCCGCGACCTGAAGAGTCTCGGTGTTCACCACCACGACCGCACAGTGCTCGATTCCACCTGCACCTGCACCTGCTCTGGATGCCGGTGCTGTTTCTCGACGCTCGCCTCCTGAGCTCCTGTCCGAACTCGCACAAGAATACAAAGGACGAGACGCCAAATCGCCACAGTCCACATCGAGCCAGCTTCCCATCTCTGCGTCCATCTCTGCGCTCCCCTGGGAATCGCTCGAAGTTCGCAATCCTGGCAGGGAACCTCTTTATATACCTGCCTTGCCCTCGGGGGCACATGAGGCCCGGATTCTAATATTCCAGAGGTTGTGGAAGTCCGCCATATCGGGAGAGGCCCCCAAAAGGACAAGTCAGAGATGAAGCTCGGGGGCGGGGCCCGATGATGGTCCGAGAGGTACAGTACAAACGGGAAATCAGGCCGCTCGAGAATTCGGGGGAAGGCCCTCGTCCCTCCTCTCGTGGCTTCGACACGAAGCAAAAGCGATCTTCTGGCAAGACTCTGTCTCGCGACACGAAGCAAAAGGGGATCTCTAGATCTGCGCTTTTGGCGATCGCGCGTTCGGTCGAGTGCGAAGCGAGGGTTGTGGCTTTGAGGGTTCGCTCGCGAGGGTGGGGTTCCGCCATTGTCGCTTCTGCCACGCGACGGACCTGGATCGGTTCATCGATCGCATTGAAGCCGTGCATGCTGGTCAGGCCAGGTGGATGGACCTCCTCTCGAAAATCAGTCACGCTGTCAAGGAGTCGGAACTGAGGCCCGCCGATCACATCTACTGCTACCGCTCGGGCTCCATCTCGAGTTATGCCCATCATGGTCCGTTCTCATCCAGTCATCGCTTCGCCCTTGTCCTCCCTTGCTGCCTCATCGATCTTGCTTGACGAGTTTATGAGTACGAAAAGCACATGGTCGTCGCATCTCCCTCCCCGCGATCCGGAGTGCTTCTTCGATCGACGTTGCTGGATGTTCTAGGGTTTATTGCCTTATGGAAGTTCGATGACGATTTGTGGCAGCGAGATGGAAATCTCCACCCTGGGTGATTGGAGCAGGAAAGAATGCAGTGTCTTGGTGTGTGGTTTGTTCCCTCGGTGTTCTTCTGCCGCAGCAACTTTTGCCTGCGGTTCTCATGCTGTTCGTCTCTCGGATATCCAGATGTGGGTTGCTGCTCATGATTTTCATGCGATTGCAATTGTTCCAAAGTTTGTAGGACCAGCAAGGACAAACTCGCGGACTGGCCCTGTCCCAGAAACGTGAAAATTCTTCGGTTACGCAAGTACTGAAATCGTGAGATAATTTTGATCCTACTCATGTTTCCTCACGAGCTTGAGAGTTGTGCCCGTCCGCGAGTAGATTCACTCACTTCAAATTTCCCGTGCGATTCTGTCACCGTTGTATTGCTCGTCCAAATGCGTCTTTCCGTCTCGATAGATACGTAGATGGACTAAATTTCGGTTTCACCTTCTGGACTTTGGCCCAACCCTAGAACAAAAGGAACTCTGTTCTGTCGTCGATGTTGTGGGAAACTTTGCTAGCCCTTTGGTGCCGACGTTGCTGGACTATGTGGTCTGCTTTTCTTCGTGGTTCAAAATGTGTGTCAAAACGGGGTACCATTAGACTTCTTAGACTCATTTAGCTATCAGTGTAATTCACTGCTGCCAGGAAGGTAGAACCATTCATGGAGCTAGGGGCTGCCCCTCCGAGGGGAATTGCCAACATATATAGTTTAGGCCTTTTGGATGCTATCCGGTACGATGAAAATCGAACCAGTGGTTTTGCCGATATTATCTGAACGACCTGTGCCCACATTCTGAATTGTGTCTTGAATACTTGTGAGAAGTATGTTGGTTTGTGATCTTTGTGTCACGTGGAGACGAACTCTTCACGGTCGACGGTTCGTCCGGGGTCTTGTCCTGATTTAAGAACAGAGCAAAATATCGATTCTAGATAGGCTGCTGTAGATTTATCCTGATGACAGTCAAGCGCTTCTGATATCCTGTGTCTTGAACAATTGAATTTGTGGCTCTGAATCCCAAAAAAATTCTTCAGTTCGTCTTCTCCTGCTCATGGTGCTTGCCCTTTACCGGCTGAAATTATGGAAATGTAGATGTAGATATGGTTACAAATTGGGTGCTTACTTCACTAAATTCAGATTCTCTTGTCTCGGCTGAGTTCGTCGTTGTAAGGAGAATCATCGTGCTCTTGGTTCACCATGATACATTCTCCCTTCAGCTTCTTTGTGCAGTTATAAATATGTTGCTTTTGATACGACAGGTATCTATATCGGCGACGGCAAGGTGATCCACTTTTTGGACAACAGTGAGGCTGCAGGAGGTAATGGAGAAGGCCCGGGTTCAATCTTCCGAGGTTTCTCATCTTCGTCGGCTAGTACTAGCAAATCTCGGTGTGAAGAATGCGGAACGAATAAGAAAGGAGGTGTGCAGATGACTTGTCTGAATTGTTTCCTCAAAGGGGATAGCCTACGTCTCTTCTTCTATGGGGTTTCGAAAGCTGAATTGGCTTTGAGCCTCAGAGGAGGTACCTATCGTACCTGAATTTTATATCCTTTCGTTGGCTCCTTCGCTATGTTTCAGGAATGTTTTGCCACGGGAATCAGAAGCTCTGCAATGGATGTCGTTAGGTGCAATGTTTTCATTTTCCGAAACTTGTCAGTCAGTTCGGAGGAACTCTTGAGGGCAGATCAAGTGTCTCAAACATGAACTGATATAGGACCATACGATGCAGGCTGTAGTGGAATGAAAGCTGAAGAACCTGAACAAGTACTCCACCGAGCAAATTACCTGCTGAGAACCGATGGGTTCGGAACGTATAACTTGCAAACTCATAATTGTGAGGACTTCGCAATATATTGCAAGACTGGCATCATCGACCTCAAGAATGGGACGAGCAAGCAGGTGGAGTTGGTGCGACAAGTCGGTAAGTTCGGCGCACAATTTCTAGGGAAGAAATCCTCTAACCTGATTGGCGTATTCCAAAAGCTGAAAACTCATTTAGTTGACGAGAGATGGGAAAGAGATAGCGTTGGATGTCATATCGCAGTGGAGGAACTGGTCAAGATGTACACTCGAGGCATAAGGTAACCATGGCGTGCGGCGAAGTTTTTACCCTGGACAGGACAGGACAGGTCGAGCCTTGCGTGACCACTATCATGGCTAGTGATCAATAACAGTAGACTATTGTCTCGTGCAAGTGCCTAGTACTCTTTGAAAACAAGATGGTGGTTGTGGTTGTGGATGCGGATTATGCTGGTGCGTCCAAATCCACAGGCCGCAAACGTAGAACCACTGATTCCACAACTGTCAGAAAGCCGTAGTGTTCACCACCAGCATCTTCTTACCCACAGATGATAACGGTTCTGTCAGTACTGCAGGAATAATGAATGGGCAAACCACATTCCTCCTCTGATACTCAACGATAGGAGCTGTCGGAATACTTTTGATTCTTCATATCCAGCATAAAAGCTTGCATTTTTCACCGAATGGTGTCCATTTTTTTCACACCAGACATGTGTGATGTACACTTCGACGCAGTGGATAGGCTTCACTGCGGGACTAAACGACAGGATACTCCAAGAGAGCCGATCGTTTTCCACTTTTGTAATACCATGAACTCGTGAACCATAAAAGTCTACTTTACGGGAAGATTCTGACTGAGATATGTGGTGAATGTGAGCCTAGCTAGGGCGAGCGAAGCAGACTCGACTAGTAGTTATCTTCTGATATTGCTGTTGCCTTCTATTTCAATGTGTGCTGTAATCTAAGACCTTAAGTAGAATTTCTAGCATTTTTGTCTGAATTGTTTCTCAATGAAGTCGAAATTCTTGTAAAAGAAGCAACTTTTATCTGGTGTTCCATCTACACGTTTTGACCGATAGGTTCAAGTTGTCCGGGTCGACGTTCCAGACGAACGAGGCCGTGGGAAGCGACCTATGGATCTGTGTCGACCGTTCTGTCCGACTTGATAGGAATGCAATATGGTGCTAAATACAAACAGTGTAACGGGATTATAATCAGAAACCCTCACCTCGCCTTTTTCTCGCCATAGACGATTCAATCCGTTCACACGTGCTGCATGGAAGATAGTTCTCTGTTCGCATGACCCTGCTCTCAAATTCAACCAGTCACAGGCTTGTGGCTGAGGCGGTCGTTAATCAGCTCTGTACCGCTCCTAGTCCGCAGGCTCAAGTCTCCCTGACGGTCTTCTGCTGGATTCCATCCGGTGACTTCATTCTGAAATGCAGAAATGGGACGGGCTACCTTCCTCTGCAGGAATACGTAAAGTCCACGGACACGCGCTAACGATACAAAACTCTGGCACTGAATGTTGTCGAATGGAGAACACTGAAAATGGCCGGCCGGTCGCTCTCCGCCGCCACATGCAAGATTTGAACCGGAATTCTAGTGCTCGGTGAGTGCATCTCCAACGAAAGACCCTCTCGCTTGAATTTCCCTGCAGAGCGGAAGTATCGTCCCGAAGCAAGTATCGATGAGCGCAGCGAGCATCGAGCAATGCCGGATCGAACGGATACGCTGGCAGGACACGTGCCCATGGCCGACATGGTGACATGTTCGGCTCTATCGAAAGACAACGGCGTTCCATCAACTTCGAGTCCCGAGCTCACAAGCCCTCACTCTGACTGCAAAATAGTCTGCGCCCTGTGTGCCATACCAGCGCGAATCTGAACCGGAATGTGCCACTCGTTACCTCACGTATACAAGTTGCTCCGATCACTCTTTCCAGTGGATCTCAAACTCTTCTCGTCGCCAGCAGCCAGTCCTCCACTACAAAGCTACTGCAGAGCAGAGTCTCAGCAGCCAGAGAAGCCGTCTATTATACTTTGCCTGGCGGCACTCGTCACCTGCTCGGAACTCCTGCTTGAGGTGGAGAAAATCCGGAGCATGTTTGGCCCCTGGATGATGGGAAACGTATCCTTACATCTAATACGCGCCAGAAGTTCTACGATGCTAGTCCATGGAACAAAGACGGTTTACTTGACAAGTCAAGTACGAAGAGACTGGTCGAAATACAACGTTCACTCTGAACTAGCTGATTTTTACTGTCAAAGCAGGTGGGAGTCACACTACAGAGCAGTGTGACTCCCACCTTATGCTCTGACGTAGCCGTATCACACCTCTGCAGGAGCAGATAAAAAACATAGTAGATAGTGATTAGACACCTAACCATATCTTGGTGGTGTTAACCTAGATTTCCAAAAACCTCATATAAGAAATTACTTTAACAATAAACATCAGTTGGTTGATAGTGTACACTATATTTTATACATAGTATTAGAGCAAGACAGAGAACACTAGTATAGAGAGATTATTGTGAGCTCTACTATTATTCTTTGAGGCGATGTTTATTTTTAGTTGCTTGTGCTAATTGACTGATCATGGATGGAGATGGCAAGATGATGCTTGCTATAGACAATAACAAGTTGGTGGGAGAATCCAACTATCATGTTTGGCGATTGAAGATGAGCTCCATGCTCAAACTATTTGATCTTTGGATTGTGACAACAAACAAAATCAAGACAGTGGAGTGTTCACCTGTCATGTTAAATGGCATACTTGTGAACAAGATCCAGCTTACTAAACTGAAGAACACAGCACATATGACAATTACAATATCTTTAAGTGATAGTCTCGTGGATTTAGTGTTTGAGAATGATGATCCACCTGATGTTTGTCAAGCGCTAGAGAGAAATTTCCAATTGGGTGATCAAGGACAAATACTTATCTTTTTCCAGCAACTAAACTCACTCAAAATGATGGAGGTAGTATCAATTACACAATACACCAGAAAGCAAGGGAAGTGAAAAACAAGTTGTCGTTAATAGGAGAGGTTGTGAGTGACAAGATTATGGCTTCAATCGTTTTAAATGGACTGCCACGATCTTACGAAGGGGTTATTCAATGCATTGCTCCTTTGAAGTAGCTTACTTCCTTTGAAAAGATTATCTCCAAACTTCTCATTAACGAACACAGACAAATGATGAGAAATCAACGATTTGGAGAAAAGATGCAGCTCTAACTTTGCAATGGCAACGTGCACCAATGAGACGTGAGTACGGTAGAAGTTCTCAATGGATGATTCGGTAATCGTTGATACATAGGAGGCAGGAGCATAATTCCACAACTCCAGCAATGTCATCAGATTCGTTAACGTAATAGTCTTACTTGTTGGACGTGTGGTAAGGAAAGTCATTTTGCTTCTACTTACTCATAGAGTAATTTTATAGGTGTACCTTCGGAAGAACAATGCGAATCGATCAACTCCATCATTGCAATGATGTGATCGATCACCATAACCACAAATGATATATGGATAGTGATGCTTCTAACCACGTGACTTGAAATAAAGAAGCATTAGATTAGATGAAGTTGAGAAGAGAGGTTTTGTGATCTCAGCAGGAGTAGAACAGTATAGAGTTGAGGTACGTGAAAATGCTCACGATACACAAACAATAGATTGACAAATAAATCCACGGATATTTCTGATGATGAAAAACTTTATGAAATTCTATGACATCACTCATTCAGAAGAAAATGCAAGATGCAAGTAGTCCTTATTGACTACAATCCCAAAGTTGACAATAATGACTGGACTTCCAACTCCAACATGAAATATTCTATTTGTGCTCAAAACAGCGGAAAACCCATCCACGATTTTCTCAACGTGGATGTTTGCTAGTATAAACTCAGGCCGATGCCATATGACCAGCAGTCGGCACTAACCTCTTGGCTAAAAGATAACCTGGTTTTAGTAGGCCTCAGGGCCAAGCCACACAACTGTCAACCGGCACTTCCCTCTTGGCTAGTAGATAAGGGAATCTTCGTAGATCTCGCTCGGCCACTTGTACACAATACTCTAAAGGCTACCACAAGGCCGGCAGTTTTGCAATGAAAAGTGCTTGCAAATGGACACCTATCGAGAATAAGAGTATATTGTCACTTCATAATTTTTTCCCTCTTTCTTTCCTCTGCCATAGGATTTCCTACCCTAAACTTCAGTGCTCACTTTCTTTCAATTCTACATTAGACTCTTGCATTCTAAACCCTAGTTACTCAATTCCATGTGTTTTTCATCAGAGTTTTCAATATTCACTTTCTTTCCTTAGATTACCTGAATGGACAATGACGTCCACAGTCTCCGGATGTGGATAAATTTGCTCGAGAGTTCCAAGATCTTAATGGAATACCGTACCTGGTTGATGCGGTGGATAATTTTCACATATCAATCGTGGCACCTAGGCTATTATCGTAAGGGATTTCACTCTATACTTTTGCAGGGTGTTGTATGTAGCAAGTGACTATTTTAGGATTTTGACATTGTATGAGTCAGATCCATGCATGACGTTAACCTGTGAGGAAGAACCGCAATTGGCCAATTGTGTGAAGCTAGAAAGCTTGCACCTTATGCTTTGGTTGGGAATGCGGCCTTTCCATGCCGCCCTTGGATGTTAGCCCCTTTCAGGAGTCACAAAGATGGACTAACTCGAGAGTGATACAACTAGAACTTTGTTCAGAGTTTCACTCATATGTGCATTGAGCGAGCATTTGGAATGCTCAAGGTTAGATGACAAATATTGTTAAAAAGTATCAACGTGCAACTTAAGAACGTGTCTGAGTTCGTGAGTACTTGCCTTGTGCTACATAACACATGCATCATCCTAGGAGACAACTTCTCAAATTCAGAGTGGTTGCAAGAGGCATCAGACGAAGTGCACAATGGATTGTCACTTATGACACCTTCGGGGTGTGGGCGACAAGAAAAGCTTGCGGTGGCTAACAATGCTTTACATAGCTTTGTTGGAATTGAACACAACTTCCAAGGTTTCTATGGAGATAAAACTGCAAAAGAGTTGTGTGCAAGGCGGAATAGCATTGCTAAGAGTTTGTGGATGGCTAAAACATAAGAGTGTGTGGCAGAAACATTTTTCATGGACGTCGACTAACCTAGCCTAGTATTTGTTGTTCTGTGCATTTTCTAAAGCTAGCAAATAGTAAGGTTCTCGGTGAACTAGTTAGACTTGTGGCTTTAGACATCTGTTATGAGGATTATCTGGACCCAATATATACACACGCTCTGTTATTATTTTAAGGTTGATGTTGGATGGATGGTTACTTAAACCTGTATTTGTCGAACATTTGATAATATGTTTACTAACATTCAGCTATTTGGTAGCTATATAGTACTTTAGTATTGTTTCTGTGAAACATAGAAGAAAGTTAAAAGGTTTGTTTTGTTAAATTTACAAACAGTGATATTTAGGTTGAGTATGAATATTAGACAAAAGTTATAGAACGTTGTACTCCAGCAAAATTCTTGGATCTCAAGTGGTCTTCATTCTTGCTAATGCTTGAACACTCAAAATTCACTCATACTGCATAATGGAAAAAACTAGGGGAAGAAAATATCTGAATGTTATTTGTAGTCATCATGAAAATTTACATATGGCTTTCTACATACATATTTCTCAGATGAGCACCACAAATTTCAGTCGGCATGCATAAGATCCTTGATTATCTTCATCAAACTAGACAAAAGAAAGCAAAGATAATGTCACAATATCTTTGACAGGAAGATTGCACAAATTTTCAGTCTACACATCCAGAAAGTGCATGTAAATCACACGAGACTCCCACAATGTTGAACGCCGCTTTACTCTCTTGATAGAAATGCTTTTCAATCAATGTTGCACGCATCGAACTAGCTAAGAACTAGTTTTTCAGTAGCTATATAGTATTGAATATAGTAAATATGATTACTGTATTTTTTTTGTGAAACATAGAAGAAACACTGTTAGAACTCAGACGTTAAGACTGTGAACCTTATAATGGAATGAGCTCATCATTTGAGATCAAGGGTTAAAAAAATATGGACTCTCTCATTAGCCTAGCAAGTGTGACTAGCAAGAAATCCAACAGAACAAAATTCCGAAGATATCATATCTGTGCTCAAAAATGATGGAAGAAACAACCAACTTTAGTACTTGAAAAAAGCAACAAAAAGAAGTCGAAAGGTCTGGAAAAAGCTCAAAACAACATCTCCAATTTACTATTATGAAGATTACATAGAAGAATAGGTGTGTCACTTCATGACGTGAAGACAAAAAGAAGAAGCTAAAGTGCACTTCTCTGAAATCCTGTAGGAAATCCTGTCCACCTAGAGTTTATCAATCAATTTCTCCATGGTTTTTTGCATACTCATTAATGAAGCCATTTTTATATCATCATTGGTCTTCAAACTATCTAGCAAAATTTTACTATTCTCTTTAAGCTCTCCAAGACATCTTTCTAAAAACAAATCCTCTTTTTGCTTAAGCTCCGGTGATTTTGATGAACTCTTCACGCTTTTTTGCTTCGTTTTATTTGTCTCCAAAGTGAGGTTGCACTTCACTCCATCTCCGTACATAACATTGGCATGGGCATGTGAAACAACATTTTCTTGTCAAACATAAACTCGTCCACCAAGAGATACCATCAGCATTTTTTTGATCGTTGTGATCCCGACTTCAAATTCATAGCCTTGTCTTCTTTGTATTCGTTATAGATTGTACTCCACTTCTTCCTACATGCTTCACTGTCTTTATTGAAATCATGACACATTGACACTAGCTTTGTATGAAGCAGTCACCAATTATAGACACCTGAACAAAACACAAAAACATAAGAGTGTATAAGCATAAGGGTATGATTATGTTAACACATGCTAACCTGAAAAGTTTCAATACTCTACGAATTATTGAGAAATCACGAAAGTACGCGAATACTTTGCGAGCATCTAATATAAGCGACGTATTTTTAGAATACAAAAAAGGAAAGACGCACATAGCTCAAAGCTCACTATCAGCACTTAGTTTTCTTGCTAGAGCTGTTAAACAAATTCAAGACTTGTATACATTGATAGCTTTGTATACTCTGAAAAGTTTAAACAAAAACTACTCTGTTTCAGATGTCAATGGGATAATACAAATGCTTGTCCACTAGATGCGATCGACTTTATAATTTATGTCACCTGATACTTTAGTTGTGTTAGCATCTCATATAAGCTTGAGATTGATGTGTATGCTGCTGCAGACACAAGGTTATGATTACGTAAAATAAATGCTTACTTGAAAAGTTTCACTACTCTACAAAGAATTGAGAATTCACGAAAGTACATAAATACCTCAATTGTGCTAGCATCTTATATAAGCTTGAGTTCGATATGTATGTTGCTGCAGACACAAGGTTATGATTATGTAGAAAAAATGCCAACCTGAAAAGTTTCACTACTTTACGGAGAATTGAGAATTCACGAAAGTACTGTGTTTCAGATGTCAATAGGATAATACAAATGCTTGTCGGTTAAACGGGATCGACTGTATATTTGATGTCACCTAATACTTTAGTTGTGCTAGCATCTGATATAAGCTTGAGTTTGATGTGTATGCTGATGCAGACGTAAGGTTATGATTATGTAGAACAAATGCTAACCTGAAAAATTTCAGTACTCTGCGAAGAACTGAGAATTCACAAAAGTACTGTGTTTCAGATTTCAACAGGATAATATAAATGCTTGTCGGCTAAACGGAATTGACTATATATTTGATGTCACCTGATGAGGCGCAAGAAGATTTCCAAACACTGTCAAATTTTAACAATCACGACCCTTAGCAAATAAGTCTTGTAATGTGAACCGTATCTTGCTGAAACTTGTGGATGGTAACATGGGACCATGTCCAGCATAGGTGTAGAAAATATAATCTTGTTAAAGATCACTGGATCTGAATAAAATTCCTATCATAAAATCCCTAGGCAAATCGGAAAACCCAAGCACTCAAAAATAAAGCAAGTGTATCCTGCGATAAAAAACAGAGTCAATGTGGTATATGTGTATGTTGGACTCACCTTGCTTTGGCGGGGCTGAAAATGCACTATGCATTTTTACTCGTATTGTGATCAATTGGATAATCCAATAATCCTTCCAATGCCCATTACTATTCCACGCCCTCTTTCACGCCGTCCACCTGAGTAATTTTAGTTTTATTATTTTTTATACCCGACAATTTTTTGTTTCTTCCTCGTTTTCGTCTGTATAGCATCATATTCATTGAATTCGCGTTTTTCAAAATCACTATTGACTCTAAGGGGGCCGCTGGAAGCGACATGACTTGCACGCGGAAACTGCAGTCCCGGGAGGGAATGCACAAAAGACTGTGAAAAAATAAAAGGCATTTGAACACCTTGGTGTGGGAAACTTTTGAAAAAAGGCGAAGTTGGAATGGTAGTACCCTGCGCACTGAATTCTGACCCCATAGCTGGAGAGTTGGAAGCGGATGCATGATGCGTGAAGTCATGAAGTGGAGTTCTGTGTGAGTCCATGGTGTCGAGAGAATGTCAAAAAATTTCCAATACAGTGAGAATGACTCCTTGATGAGTAACTTGAAAAAGGCGCGAAAATACACATGGAGTCTATATTACCGTGAAAACCAGATTTCCAGGCGAAAGTGCTTGGTACTTTGAAACAACAAATTTTTTTTGCCACCTAGGATATCTTAAATTGCCGCACCCTCCCGTGTGGTAAAGGGGGGAGCTGGCCGGCAAATTGCAGTACACGGTTCACTACCGGTGCCGGTCGTATGGTTTGGCCCTAACTCGCCCAACTGGAGATAATACTGTAAACTCTACCACACGGACGGCCCTCGCCTTTGGAGTGAAAAGGAGCTACCTACATATATCTTGTGAAGGAGTGCCAGGGAGGAGTAATGTGAGAAGGCGCAATAATACACGTGTAGTAGATCGATATAGGAAAAACATGGTTTCCAAGCGGAAGTGTCAGGTACTTCACAGCAACGGATTTCTTTGCTAACTAGGATATCTTAAATTGCCGCTCACTCTCCCATGGTAAGGGGGGAAGCTGGCCTGACTGGCGAGGGTTCACTGCCGCCGTAGGTTGTGTGTCTTGGCCCTCATACACACATGATATAACGGTGTCATGTGGTGTTCACCTCGATTAAAACCACAAAAATTCACCAAAAGCTAATCATGCCGGCGTACCACAAATTTGATGAGCAGGCAATTTGAGTGGGACATGGAATGATATTGGATGATTTTCAAGTGCACGGGATCTTATTTCTTCCCAATGACCAACAAAACCAAAGTAATTGGACCTGACACTAACTCACCGAGAACAACAACGACTCCGGTAAACTTCATTTTTCCACTAAGACCAGCTCCATGGTTTATCACTTTCGCAACTACAGGCGGAAATCGGGCTAAAGATTCGAGGGTAAAGATATTCTCCCATTCTCTTTGGAGACCGAAGACTCAATCGTATTTACAGTCTTATGTCAAAGTGGTAGTGACCTTTTAAAAGATACTTCTTTGGCAATTCCAGGAAAGTAGCATCACTGTCTTCACCAGAAACCAGTGAAAGATTGCAAGACCGCATTTTCAATGCACAGATACGTATCACACTTGTTACACGAGCGAGGCAGATAATTGAAGAAATTTGCTATTATACACCAACATCAGCATTTACAGTAAATTGGATTTGTCTCATAACAAATCCCAGCCTGGGTCAATGTACAAGGAGACAACTAATCCTCCTGAATAGAAATCGCTGGCAAGCTTTACAAAAATCTTGTCAGACAGCGCTAAAATTGGCGTTCATGGGTACTGAGCACACGATATACATTTTGGCTCAAAACATAAGATCTTCAGACGTCTTCGACATAGGAAATGTGCACTGGCTTCAGAACAATCATCTCTATGACTCGGCGGACGAAGTAAGTGCAAGTATCACAGAACCCTGTCCACAGGAGCTACGGGGACTAAGTCACCCTAGCTTGAAGGTATGGTCGTGAACGATGTGCGATAGACAACATGAGAACTATCTTGATCCAAGCCCACTCACTTGGGACGAAGACAGGCGTCTGCAAAACTCCACCCAGCACCAACCGCCTTGCAAGCTCATGATATTTTACAGGTGTCTGTAGACGGATCAGTGAATGCCGCAGCCGACAGCAAAATATCCGCTCTTTTAGACATCGGATCAGTCAGCACATTCAGCTGGGACAGCTTACTAAGCACCCAAACCCAGTAACTTCGGCCTCTTGACAGCCTCTACCGGTTGAGTTATACCTTGCTTTTCTCGTCCGAGCCCATGACCCCAAACGTACCCCATTTTGACCATCATCCTGGAGGCAAATCCAGTTGTGTGTGCCTCGAAAGCAGCAAACTCCGAGGGATTACTCTTCATGATATAATTGCTTTCACGACCTGCGGCAACTGAGAAACCAACATCTGCCCTGGATGATCGAGATCGGACTACTCCTACCACGGTTGATGCGGGAGTTGAACTCCTAGTCGATTCCGTGGAAATACAAGCATCTTCACCCTCTGCTCCTCTGCCTATAAAAGTCACTGCGTTCGTCACATAAAAAATAGCCGCTTTACTAGCTTTCTTGTCATTCCTCTTCATATGGCTTCCCTGACCAGAAGGTGTGACTTTGCTGTTTCTACCTCTTGGTTTGTCGGCGGATCGACCCTTGGGGTTCACGGTTAGTGTCTTCATGGAAGACACCAACCTCGAATAGTAAGAACAGGTATTTCTCGTCTTCAAGGGCGACGAGAAGTAACTGTTTCTACTACCTTTCCTACTAACAGGACTCTCCAAACCTTGGAAAGCTTGTCTTGCGGCGCGTTTCATTTTCGAAACCTCCCGCTGCTCCTCACCTGTTAACCACCAGCATCTTCTCACCCACAGATAATAACGGTTCTGTCAATTCTGCAGGAATAATGAATGGGCAAACCACATTCCTCCTCTGATACTCAGCGATAGGAGCTGTCGGAATACTTTTGATTCTTCATATCCAGCATAAAAGCTTGCATTTTTCACCGAATGGTGTACATTTTTTCACACCTGGCATGTATGATGTACACTTCGACGCAGTGGATAGGCTTCACTGCGGGACTAAACGACAGGATACTCCAAGAGAGACGATCGTTTTCCGCTTTTGTCATACCATGAACTCGTGAACCACAAAAGTCTGCTTCACGGGAAGATTCCGACTGAGATATGTGGTGAATGTGAGCCTAGTTAGGACGAGCGAAGCAGACTCAACTAGTAGTTATCTTCTGATATTGCTGTTGCCTTCTATTTCAATGTGTTCTGTTACCTGAGACCGTAAGTAGAATTTCTCGCATTTTTGTCTGATTTGTTTCACAATAAAGTCGAATTGCTTGTAAACCAAGCAACTTTTATATGGTGTTCAATTTACACGTTTTGAACGGTAGGTTCAAGTTGTCCGGGTCGACGTTCCAGACGAACGAGGCCGTGGGAAGCGACCTATGGATCTGTGTCGACCGTTCTGTCCGACTTGATAGGAATGCAATATGGTGCTACATACAAACAGTGTAACGGGATTATCATCAGATTCCTCACCTCGATATCACTCACATTTTTCCTCGCCATAGACGATTCAATCCGTTCACTCGAGCTGCATGCAAGAGAGTTCTCTGTTCTCATGACCCTGCTCTCAAATTCAACCAGTAACAGGCTTGTGGCTGAGGCAGTCGTTTATCAGCTCTTTACCGCTCCCAGTCCGCAGGCCGAAGTCTCCCTGACGGTCTTCTGCCGGATTGCGTCCGATGACTTCATTCTGAAATGCAAAAATGGGACGGGCTAGCTCTCCTCTGCAGGAATTCGAAAAGTCCACGGACACGCGCTAACGATACAAACCTCTGGCACTGAATGTTGTAGAGTGGAGAACACTAAAAATGGCCGGCCGGTCGCTCTCCGCCGCCACATGCAAGATTTGAACCGGAATTCTAGTGCTCGGTGAAGGCATCTCCAACGGAATACTCGCTCGCTTGAATTTCCCTGCAGAGCGGAAGTATCGTCCCGAAGCAAGTATCGATGAGCGCAGCCAGCATCGAGTAATGCCGGATCGAACGGATACTCTGGTAGGACACGTGCCCATGGCCGACATGGTGACATGTTCGGCTCTATCGAAGACAACGGCGTTCCATAAACTTCGAGTCCCGAGCTCACAAGCCCTCACTCTGATTGCAAAAATAGTCTGCGCTCTCTGTGCCGTACCATCGCGTTTCTGAACCGGAATGTGCCACTCGTTACCTCACGTATACAAGTTGCTTCGACGACTCTTTCCAGTGGATCTGAAACTCTTCTCGTCGCCAGCAGCCAGTCCTCCACTACAAAGCTACTGCAGAGCAGAGTCTCAGCCGCCAGAAGCCGTCTATTATACTTCGCCTGGCGGCACTCGACACCTGCTTGAGGTGGAGAGGATCCGGAGCATGTTTGGCCCCTGGATTATGGGATCGTATCCCTTAGATCTATTACGTGCCAGAAGTTCTACGATGCTGGTCCATGGAACAAAGAGGGCCACGCATGAGACAGTGGAGTTGTGATGAACCGAGAGCCATACTTCACCGACTTAGTATGCACTGCCATTGACTTTCAGTCGGTTCCAAATTTCTGTCATTATACAGCAGCAAACGACGAGAGCGACGAGAAGAATGTAAGCTGACGAACGACCCACAGGACGTACTTGACAAGTCAAGTATCAAGCAGAGCCTCTGCAGACTCTGAAGCTGGTGACCGAGAAGATATTTACTCTGCCCGATTAGGAAGTGGTCCACCTGTTTTTATCTGAACGAGGGTGTTGACATTCGACAAGAGATGGCCAATACGGTCCCGCAGGAATTTGACCCTCCTCTGATACAATTGATCGGGGAGGCCTTTGTTCTGGAGTATTACCATGTCCTGAACAACAATCCGCAAGACCTCCGTCGGTACTATGGCAGATCTAGTACGGTAACTCGGACTCACAGCAAAGTTGATGACTTAGTTGAGACGAAAGCTTCGACGGAAGAGGCTATGACGAAGATTATCTCTTTCGTCTCAGGCTGGAAGGCAGAAATTACCAGCGTGATTTCGCAGGAGGCTTTTCCTCATCGAGTGCTGATTCTGGTCACCGGATACTTCTCCAACCCGGAATCTGTCCGAAGAAATTTTGTACAGACTTTCCTGCTGGGCCTCCAGAATGGCGAGAATTACCTGAAGAATGATGTGCTGAGATTGACGGGTGTCGAGATTGGAGAAGACTTGAATTGCTTTTCTTGTACCTTGGAAAGTGAAGAGAATTTGCGCTTGATAGAGCTACATTCTGCATTTTTGAAAGAGTTCAAAGTGATTCCTCCACTAGATTTGAACTCCAAGAGTCCGAGGCAAGCTGTACCACCGCGGATATCGCCAATATCAAGGAAGCCTGTTCCACTCAAGCATCAGCCGGAGATGAGGAGACTCGAGCAGGGAGAATGTTTTTGCTTCCTTCCGCCTAGTCAGCCGCCACAAGAACTAGCCCAAGCATGGGCTGAATGCGTGAGAGACAGTACGTGTTCCGATAAAAGTGAATATGGGAGTACGTGGGAGCAGTTGGAGAATATCGGGCTTCGTGTGATTTTACCACGACCCATTAGCACGCCATCCTTGATGAACGTCAAAATGAAAGATGAACTGGGAGGCCATGAAGTGGAAGAAACCTTGTTCCTGGATGACGAAACCGAATATGATAGTTACTATACATTTCGCCGCCTCACTGAAGATTTTACATTGCTGCGCAATTACCCAGAGATACCGATAAACTTATACGGGAGTTCTTAGGACGTGCATCATCAATTCGGCAATCCATATGACAGCCAACCGTACCCAGTGTCGAGGTACTTAATTCTTTCAGACCGAATCCCACTCGGAGGAGAACAAGTTCGTATTCTAAAGTAGAGAGAGATTCAAGGTTGCACGTCTGGGTCCACAGTGGGGAATCCCGATTTGGCTGCTCTTCCATAATATAATTAGTTCTCATCTGAGCTGTAGGGTGAAAGTATGGAGTGACATTCTGGTTATTTCCACCCAAATGTCAGACGACTAGTTCTCGTGATCAGATCAAACCATTGTACGTCAATTCACACCATTTCTATATGGTCTCTCCTTTATGGCTGATCCATGCATAGTCTCCTTGGAAGCGACAAAACCAAATCATTGGTTTTAGTTCAGGTTATCAAAACTGACAGTCTTTAGTACATGAATGACAGCAAAGGAGAAAAGAACAGTAGCGTGCTTCCTTTCCAAGGAGGCCCAGTGCAGGCCCTTTAGACCAATGGATATGAGCCTGAGGTTTCATATGGCCCCACTTGATTTAGCAATAAAATCATTTATGTTAAATCTGTCATTTTACTTCAGTTTTCTGTCTGTGTGGCTCAATCATGGAACTAATGCTGTAGTATGAGGCGTACAAACTCATCATACTTTCCTCTTCATTTTTTTTGGAGGTTTTCTTGTAGTTTAGCTTAAAACTCTTGCTAGTCATATCTGCATCCGTTTTTAACTTCAAATTATGCTAAAGACTTTGTTAACCATTGTGATTATGATAAGATTGTGATAAGTTTCAAAGGACCCGACCAGTAAGTTGGTTTATGCACAATGATTGATAAAAATTTGGGACCTCGCCCCATCCTACACTGGTCACATCGTTGTACACGTGATGGGGTCTTCCTTTGATTATGCTATATTACTTCGTCAAGTCGGATGTGACATTTATATGTGGATCGCTGATATCACCGGAAATTTTCTTGGCATGGGAAAAATAATATCCTAAAATACACACATGAAAACATAGATGATTTCATAATCTGCGAACCAAAGTTTTGAGGTTCAGAAGAAGATCAGAGAGGACCCGATGTCTAACCAATGAATTTGAGAGAATGTGCATGTTTTGTGTTCAGTCGTCGAAATCAACCTGAAGCATGAGTCATGAGTCTGCATGTTCATAAGTGAATCAATTAAATGAACAGTCGCAATAGTTTTCATTCAATTTTGACTCCAATGTGGAGATTCCATAGATGTGTTTCTAGGTTCTCGAAGGCACGACAGACTTTTACCGATCTGATGACTCCTTTGTGACATCCAATCCTGTGACAAGCACTAGATGCATTGGCGCGAATTTGTACAGAATTCTATCCAGATTTCAGTGAGCAGTCACACGCCGCAAACTGGCGAGTCCTCTTCGTCTGATTTCGACTCCGACGCACTTCGCTCTGTTCCTTCCCTGATACTACAGCTTGCCATCATCTTTACTTTCATGCACAACGGCTTTTCTGTTTGTGATCCGTTTATCCACGCACTCGTAGTCATCCTCAGCTGCTGTCAGTGACTTCGAGTGGAATTCGAAGACGAGAAGAGTGCTCGGGAAATACCGAAATCTGCGATCATCCCGGAGAGCTATTGACTGACCGATGAGTTTAACTCTTCGCCTATCAGTGTTTTTAGACATATCGGTGATTGATGCTTCTTTGGTTGATTTCATAAGATATGTCATCAGAGACCTGGTGGTTATCCATAGTACATCCCGGATGTACTATGGATGGGATTTAACCATTTTGAGATGAACCATTACGGATGTAACATTCGTAATTGTTTCTGAAGTAACAGTTCTGTGATAATTGTAGATTAATTGCATTAAATACTAATCTTAATGACAATTAAATACTAATCGCGATTCGAATGCAGATAATGCTTCTAATAGCATCTAGTATGAATATTTATTTCAATGAGAATAAATAGTCAATATATGTAAAGTGTAATATAACTATTGATTCGTGATATTATCAAATTATATACTAACAATAAAAAAAATACGTAATTATTCTACACAACTAGTGAGAAAGTTGATTTTCAGCTGCGTGACAAACTCATGGCCAGTATGACAGATTTAGAAAGACTGGACCAGTATCTACATTCGGATCAGGGAGTATTTGGCGGGTGCGATCTTCAGGTTTGGAAATACGATTCCGCTGTTTGCAGAGCTGCGAGGTGCCCGCAAGAACATTTCATGAATCCGGGATCGACCAATTCTTGAAAAACCAGAATTCCCAGTAAAAGTTTATTTCTTGCACGTGGCAACTATTACTTCAGTTTGATTTATGGTGTAGAAATGTCTGACCTTGCGTTGACGATGGCAGCGCAAATACACGTCGTGGACTTCATCCAATTTTTGTGATTTTGCTGCTGTCGCCGAGTGCGCGGCCTCGGGGTTCGGAACTCGCGAGCGAGTCCTGGACTCGAGAAGCCTCTGTTTCGTAAGCAATGAGATCACTTGACACTAATTACAAGGCTATCACGAGGCTGTTCACAGTGTCAAAAGTTTCGCATTTATCAAACCAGATTTGAGATTTCCTGAATTTTTGTTTCCTGCTCGCCTCTACACCAATTCGTTATTTGTCAGTGCATCAAGACAAGGCTCACGCTGAGTCGGTCTTAATGTCCAGTCCACAGTTTCTCGGTTTGCAGACTTCATCTCTATCGAACGGAATATGAAAATGGCACAAACTGTAGCTTGCCGCAATGTGCCACCGATCGCCATGTGTTAAAAGCAGAAACTTGTGGTTTTCTTCCGGAGGGAAGGCTTCACATGATGGGACGTTCAAGAGGACCGCCCAGGACAGCTGCCAGGGTGAAAGATGAAAGCCCGGCAATCTGTAGAGGAGATGGGGGAAGGCTGTCATGTTTCACAACTTTCGAAAAGCCATCAAATTTGCCTTTCAAATCTACCTCTCGGATTTCTCGGTCAAATGCAAGACCTTCGACAATTTCGGGTGTCAGTTTTTCTTTCGGGAGGATCCCTGCATAGATCCAGGCTTCCATTGCATCTGGGAGCGTAGCCGCATCGGCATTTTGCAAACTTCCACTGTAATGCTTTCCCGCTCCATGCCAGGTCCGATCAAATAACAATCCTATGCTGAACAAATACCACGCTTTCTTAATGTAACTAAGCAGAGGGATTCACTTCCAAGAGCTATCTTCAAGAATTCGTCCGATCCAATCTACCAAGAAAACGTCTGATCAGATAAGCTGAACAATCTGCTCCAATTCGGACGCCTCTACGTCACTGAGTTCAAATGATCACGATTCCACGGTCCTAAACACGGAGGAGGCGTTCCGTCCTTCGATAGCAGTCGTTTGATGTCAATAACCGAACAGATGTGCAATCTCTTCATCCAACTTTGTACATCTGTTAAGCTACTGCCATCAAAGGATCACCACTGGACAATCATCTCCACAGGTCCTTTAAACGAAGCGTGGCCCAATCCATACGGCAAATCTACACACAGACATTCATCAACATCATGTTTGACGATGAAGCCTGCTATGTCGCTCTAGTCGGTGCTGATCGGGTCAAGGCAAAAAAGTTTTCTCACAAACTCGAGAGATTGCTAACCACTGCCTGTGGCCTCGGGGCTCCCGAGGCGAGAAAGGCCAGGAGTTCGCCCATAGCCATCGCGTGCCTGTGATTCAAATTCAAAAGGCTTTTGCCACGCTTTCGCGTTCGGGGAGTCAAGCTGCCAACACAACAACCGCTCGCTTATAATAGTGCCACCGCTGACGAGGCCAGCTTGTGCTTGAAGGATGCCACGTCGTGGCCCGGACGACCAGCTGCCGTGGTTCCGAACCAGTGTCAAGGTGAGGCTCCCTCGAATAGAATTGCAGATCGTCGATCAGGGGCCACGTTTACCAACTACCGCTACCCACTCCTGCCCATTTGCGTGTCTCGTTTTCTTCAGGTATGACACTCATCGTCGGCTTGTGCTTGTCTCGGCGGACAGATTCGACGTTTTGGCTTTCGTGCATTTGAATTCTCCGAGGCCTTTACGAGCAATTCAGCAGCTTGCCGTAGAGCACCGCGAGATTCTAGGTTATGATGGACTCCGTCTTCTGAATGCCTCGACAGGTCTTTGTGTCGCAGATGCAGACGGTGCTTCTAATTATGATAATGATACCTCAACAGGTGCTCTTGAAGACTGCCCACCTCCGCACAAGTGTCTTCCCACTTTCTCGGCCGCTGTTGCCAAAGAACTTGGGCGTCGACGCGCTGCACAGATGCCCGAATATCGATGGCGGACTTTTCGTCCACGATACATATTTTGCGACGTGTGACACCTCGCCTTATAAGAATGGTCCTGAATGGAGGAAATTTGAAATATCTGCCGACATGAAAGAGAGGTCCTCTAAACTGACTTAGAACATACAAGAAGGTCTAAATTTTCTGCGACCACAAGAGATTGAATTGGGCTACAGGATACAGTCCGACATAATCATCGCGACCCGCGCAAAACAATCCTGAAACGAAGGTAAAGAAGAGTCTCAGCTACTGCCGGTTCATTCGTGTGCAAAAATGGGGAGAAACCTCGCGCCGCTGTTCCATTTATCCTATTCATATTTATGGTCGATGTTGTTCTAATGAATAATTAGCTCCTCAGTGACACAGCTCATTTTAAGGGGAGAATCCACCGAAAACTCCAAAGAGGTCAGCATCAAAGGAAGAGTTGAAACTTCTAAATTATAGCTGCTACATCTCTGGTTTATGTTAGAACTTCCATTCTTGTTCGTCCTGTACACGTCCAGCTAAGCTCAATCTCCAGTGCAGTTTGAAAGTACATGTCATAAAGACACTCACACTTCAGTCAGTCGAGGCCCTGGACGATAGTGGTGTTCTGACTTGCTGCTCTTCCCTATAGGAGACGTGAATACTGGCAGTAACGATTTGGCTGCGAGATAAGTAAGAGAATCCTCAGACCGTTTTGCTGTCTTACCATGAATTCAACGTAAGAAATTGCGATGTATAGGTTTGAGCAGTCCTAAAGGCGAAGAGAATCAATCTAATCGAGACAGGGAGATTTGTGCTACGCTCCTTGCGGGGCGCTGCAAACTTTCCAGAAGAAAGGATGGAGGAGTAAAAGTGTGAAAGGTGCACGCTCACATCGTACTCTCTTCTCATCATCATCTTCCAGTTCTTCTAAAACCCCGCTCGAACGAATTCAGAATCCACCGTCAATTGATTTTGACATATATGCGCATGCATTCACGTACGTCATGATCAAGTACATGAATGTACACTCACCTGCGAACGTACTCCACGGCTGTATGGATAGCAGCGGTGGAGAGATCAGAGTTGGTTAAGGGCGATGACTTGCAGTGGAGACAGAACACCACGTAGATCATACTACAACTCAGCGACAGGCTGGTAATCCCCATGCAACCCCTTTCCTCTTTCCGATCCTATTATTGCGTCCTTACATTAGAACTCTATTCATTTTTTGTTTTTTTAGTCCGCGTATATCCAAAGGACTTCTATTCAAGTAGTGTAACGTATGAATAGAGTGCAATCAATAGAAGCGCA